AGGCTTTAGTGTTGCCTGTGGGGGTAGTGGGATTTGGCTACTCTGCTTGCGGCGGCTTGAGCGTTTATTGGGTGATTGCTGAGGCCCGCGCATTATCATTTGATGGTAAGTTCGCGATGCACCTTAGAGCACAGATGCTTCCGACTGTAGGTTAGGGTTTGGATATTCGGATTTCCTTGGTTCCTCCCTAACCCTAGCCTTAATAACTAGAATAGGGTTTGGGGTATATTATGCTACAATAAAGAAAAGGATCCCCCAAAACCCTATTCTAATCACTATAAACCTTGTTCTAATCATTAAGGCCCCTACACGACGCTACTCCTACACCCTTCTCGCTGCTCCCTAGGCGCCTGTAAGCCTCCTGCGACCGGCGCCCCCGCGAGCGCCGATTGTAAGGCCGCTGGAGGCACGATGCACGGCCTGGGCCACAGAAAGCTTTTCAAGGTTCCTTTACTTGGGGAGTGAGGGGTTTAGGCTGTTTAGGTAATGAGGGCTTGAGGTCTGGGATCCCGGGTGCGAATACAGTGAATTGAGTCCAGCATGGTTTGTGACGTTTGGGCTGACACCCGATGCTTCAGAGCTGGTGGCTGTGAATCAAATGAGTCGTGGAGAGCAGAAGGATTCAAGACCACGGAAAGCCCCGCAATAAGCGCCTCCTAGGTAAATATACTCGTCAACACTTCTAGGTCTAGGTCTTAAAGGCTTGCAAATCATCGATAAAGCCCACATGCTGGAAGCCGTCGCAGCCCTTCGATACAACTCTTCTCAGCAGGCCTTACAAACTATTGCATTTCATAGCCCGTCACTGCAGGAAAGCTTCTTGAGAAGCACTTTACTCAAGCTCGAAGTCGCCAAGCAACCCGAGGCTCCACCGTTGGTTCTGCCGGCCGCTTGGGCCCCAGTCGTAGGCTCTGCGCTTTGGGGCTTAGGGCCGAGTAGCCTAAGGCTTGTGGCCTTCGTAGACTCTTGGATTCTTGTGGGTACTCGGCTCATGTTAGGGTGCTGGCAGAGTTCAAAGCTGCATTCAGCTTGTATCTGGACGTGTGCGGTTGGTGTGATTCGAAACAGGCTTATAAATACAAGTCATAATCTACAGGTTTTATAAGTGCTATGTGCTGGGATCTTTCTCTAACCATCGCTTTCCTCGAGGAAGTTTCCAGGTCAGGCTTTATTGCATGTACAGGCTGTGAAGATCAAGCTTTCCCAACCTCGTTGTGGGGAGGGGCTCGAGGGTATCGTAATGCCTGAGGTTCGGCTTACAGTTCTTATGCCGCAGGTTTACCTTTCGAGCGATTTCGTTTGATTATTGTTGGCAAAGCTGAGCTGTTCATGTTCTCTCCTAGTTCCCACAGCCCTACAGCCTGAGACCTTCAAGCCCTACACCGCATAACTAAGCCACGAGAAACCTTAAGGCTCACGTATGGCACTCAGCTGCGGTTTGGTTTAAGGTTTGGAGGCACTCGGGGGATTCGGCTAAGGATTCTTCTGTTTTGTTCTACTATATTTAAACCCGGAGTCCTAAACCCTAAACAGTGACTACGGTCTACAGATTTTTCAAGGTCAGGGGTTTGGGCTGCAAGAACCTCAAGGATTTTGGAACCGTGTGGCCTGATGCCGTGGTATTTTGGTCTCTTGGCCATTTCAACCTTTGCAACGTGACTTTCGTATCTGAGGGAACCAAGCGCTTTGGAGAATTGCAGGTCGCACAGGTGCTCCTTTGGTGGCGCCGCCAGCAGGGTAACTGCAATATCAGGAGGAACTCCATTTTCCCCTAGCTACGACGAGTGTCAGCTGTAGAAGGCTTGCGCAGTCGAGGCCGAGTCAATCCCCAAATCCTGCACCCCAACACTGAAAACCCAGGCCCTCAAAAGCAAATCCTAAAATACAAACATAAGAAATGAACCCAGACCCCGAAATCCGCGTGCTTTTTGGGGAAGGCCAAGACCTTGGAGTCGCCGACGCATTCAAGCCAAGGCAGTACAGGCCTGATCCCCCCTAAGGGTTTGGGGTTTCAGGCACCGAGGGGAGGGGTCCTCAGGTTTCTAGGCATCCTTGTGAGAAGGATCCTGCAAGTCAATTCGTTGTTGAATCTCTGCTGCGTCCCTTATGTTGGAAGCTCCACCGCAGAGTGGGGGAAAAAGAGGGTGTTGACATGACTTTGAGGTTAAGAACAGGTCTGGGACCTGGTTGGACCATACCGACAGGGAAATCAAGTTCTCGAAGTCTAGGATTTAGGACGGGTGCTCCTGAAAGCAATCGTCTCTATCAATCTACCAGCCCAGCCCACGAAAGTATGATGTGATCGTTTGCTTGCTTTTGCTGCATCTACACACCGCCTATGCCTTTCGATGGTACGGTGTGCGCGGCCTGAAGCCTGAACTCAAATTAAAGCCCCCTGCCCTGGCCCCAGCGCTGACATTTTGCAGTAACTGCTGTGCCTCAATACGTGTTTACTCTCTCCAGTCTCCTTGTAGAACTACCGTTCATGTTCCCCAGTCGACGAATGCTATTGTTTAGTTGCTCCGTTTCGGCTCCACCAAGCCGGACAAGTAGCCATTACCCTAAACCCTCAAGCACGAAACCTCGTCCCGCCCTTCCCTCGGTCCCTTAGGCCCCTGTCTCTAAACCTCAGACTCGGCCTAAGCACCCAGTATTTATGTATGTGCCTAATCTACAGGCTTGAACACATCGCGGTCGTATTGCTTATAGGATTCCTCAATATAGGTATCGTCTAATATACCCCCCAAAAATTGTTGCCCTAATCATTAGAGCCTTCTAGATGATCGAACCCTCACACACAGGAACCCCTTTTTAGAGGAATCCCAAAACCCTATAAACCCTAAACCCTAAGATGTGAACCCCTGGGCCCTCACCCCCTTCCCACATATTTTGGCGCAGAGGTCTCGGACTGAGTGAGGCCGGGTTGGCAGGTTTTGGGGCTTGTTTTGGGACGCGGGTGTTCGGGTTTCAGAGATTCGCGGTGTAGTATGATCTTAATAGTCTGGTTTTAAAGTTTTCGTTGAAGTTCAATGTTCGTTTCAATTCTTTTTTTGGGGAGGAAGGGGGAGGCAGGGGAGGGGGAGGGGGGGGGTTCAGGTGTGCGTTGATGTCGAGGCTGAGTGGTTTAGGCGGAGGCTTCATCTTGGTGGATTGCCTTGCATCGGGTTCAGTGAGCATCGGGCTTTGCTTCAGAATGCCTACAGGGAACCCCAAAAAGTTGGAAACCGGATCAAGGACTTGGGTTTCTAACTTTCGGGGCTTCTTCTATAGGGCAGTGGGAGGTTCGACCTGAGATTGCCGGTTACAGCAGATCTAGGGATCCATGAGGCTCAATTTGTTGTTTCCTTTGCCTTTCGCATTCAGAGGTCCACAGGCTCAAGGGTTTGGTGTTGCGGGGCAAACTGTTTGAGAGGCGGGCTGTCGGGTTCATATGCTTCAGGCTTGAAGCGCTTTTCATGCCCTGAATCTTCAACTTTGAAGCCGAGACCTGAAGAGAGTACACTAACAGTCCTGCTTGAAAAGGCTCGTCATTTATAGCCGGCTAAGACGCAATGAAACGATCGCAGTACACTTCAGAGGCAAACCAGTCAAAGCACCATGTGTCTAAACCCTGAAGACGGCAAACCCCAAACCCACAAACATATCATAGCGACGCACTTGCATTGAAAAGAGGGCGAAGATGACGGCGAGGATCTCCCGTGCCCTGGCAGCAGCTGAGGAAGGCACTGTAAGGCTCAAGGTTTAAGGGCGAGACTTCAGAAGGGCTGCATGGCTCAAGGGCTTGGCTCTTCTTACCAAAGATGCCGTAGGCGTCTTTGTTCCGAAACAGAGTATGGGGATAACATTCTGTTGTGCGGGAATACACTTATTGCCACTTGGAGGCCTAACTCTGCGTCCTTGCATTCTGGTGTCCTGGTCCTTGTAGCACTTTCATTTCAGAACATCCACGAAATTTTCGGCCTTGAGAGTGCCGTTCAGGGAGAGCTTGCAGAGGCTGTTAACGTGTGGCTCGTCATAGAAGACAAGGCCACACTCTAAACTGCATGTAATAGTTGGTCGCTTCCGAGCCGAGGAATGTAAGCGCTTATTTCAAACTCTACATCTTCGGCTCTGATCCTCCTTAGACCCTCGGAACCAGAATCGGAGCTCTGGTTTTTCTACTTAGTGCCCTCGACCGGATTTAGTTGAAGCCTGAATGACGAGCCCGACACATCATTGAAGTGGTCCTTACAGTATCCAAAAGTCGCCTGCTTCGGACGACAGCAGTCTCGGGTATTGAGCTTTACCAACAAGTGTAACATTTCAGCACGATGAGTTGCAAGCCCCTCCACCCCCCCCCCCCCCCCACTCCCAACAGCGACCCATTGGAAGCAGTATCCTTACCCAAGTTGCGATGAACTCGAGACAGAAATCGTGAACTAGTAGACAGACTGGCTTAAATCCCGGACCCCCAGACTCTCCGGCCGATAACCTCATCCCCGTCCTCAGCATTCCTTGTTGGCCCCGGCCAGCCTTGAGCCATTGGCTGAGCTTGCAGGGTCTCGTGTAGGCATGGACTCTTTGGGAACACGTAGGTCCAAAGCCCACTACGTAAACTGATGGCTTTGGTGTTCTGGTCTTCGTGTCCGAGGTTTCGACTCTAGACTTATCGCTCGAGCCCAAAGCCTGCTTGAAGGTACATGGGTGCAAGTAAGTGAGGAGATCGAACATTCTATACAACATGCCGATGTGCCATTACTCTACTTACTTACATGGTGCAAATAGTCATGACCTGAATGGTGAACTTTGAGCTACCCCGAAGCACGAGCAAGCACTCTGACCAACGTTCGGCGATTTACATCTTGCAAACAGGGTTTGCTTCGGACGAGAGGCGTGGCCTGCGACTCCATAGAAGGCCAGAACCTGAACTGTAATACTTCAGAAATGCTGAGGAGAATATCCCCCGAACAATCTGTTCAAAAGACTCCTCATGAGTGCCTGCCTTCCTGGACGGGAGCGCCATGGGTGGCGTCACAAGCTTCTTGAACCAGGATGCACGGAGGGAGGCGCGCCGATCCAACATGCCGACCTTGGGAACTGAGGGTAAGCCTCAATCATACAAACCCTAAACTAAGCCAGCAACAAGGTTGGTAGACGGACTACGCACTCACACGAGTTAACGTGGGCTGGACCAAAACTCGGCCTTTAACCCACCATTGCCCTGGCCCTAACACTTAGTAAGTAACATAAGTAGGATGTAGCTGGCCATAGGGATATAGCGGTTACTGTGTTTGCTCCGTGCTTCGGTTGTCGGAGGATGAAGCAGAACAGAGTCTTATGCCCCCTGCTGGCTTAATCTCGAAAAGATATGCACGGGGCCTATAAACCCTTGACTCTCATCGGAGACAGCCTGAACCCCTGAGCCCTAAATAGACTAGCAACATGAAACCCAGAGGCATCCAATGCACTCCACGGACACAAAAAACCGAGGGTTGAGGCTTCATGCGTCGAAGGTTAAGGGGTGTAGGACTTCAGGGAGACCAAGACTAAGGTTCGGAGTTTCAAGTTTCACTCTTGCGGGTTTAACCTTAGGGTTTAGTGAAATAGAATCAATTGCATTCTGACCCACATGCCAAGCCCCAAACCTCAAATCGACATCAGGCTGCAAATCCCCCAAGCTTGGACGTCCCAGCTTCAAGCCTTGCTAGAGCCTACTTCCGGCAGGATCACCTTGACTTATTTTATTCTGGATGATTGCAGGCTGAGGGAAATCTCCAGTGAACCCCAAAACCCCAAACCCAAGAGAGGCCGAAGAAACCCAGAGCGGCCCAAGCCCCAGAGCCCTAGAAACCCCTAAGCGCCAAGAGTCCTCCAACCACCCCCTCCCCTTTTACCGGGAGGTTCCAGACTCGACCTTCGAACACATTGCCCAGTTCGTGCCGAAGTGGGAGTGGCAGGCTTGGTCTTCGAAGTCTGGGAGGGATTGGGATTCAGGGTATGGGTTTGGTTGAGGATTTAGGGGAGATTTAGGAAATTTAGGGCTCGGGTCTCGTTTAGGGTTTGAGATTCTGGATTAGTGCATGTAGGGATTATGGCTTAAGGGCTGAAGGTCTCGGGTTCAAGGAGAGAGGTAAGGCTTCTACGGCTGGCCGGTTTCCGCAGCTTCGTGGAAGGTCGAACTAACTAGTGAGGTTACAGGGTTTCTAGCCATTTGGCGGGCAAGTCCACGATTCTGGGGCTGGTACCTGCAGGGTCTAGTGACAGGGGATCGAGTGATAGAGTGTTTGCGCTGGACGTCGTGGCCTCTTGGAGTATGGGTCAGGGTTGGCTGTGTTTTTGGGGCTGCCGCGGCAGGAGTGACGAAGCACATCGATGTTGATCAAGCAATTGTGAGCCAGCTGTGGTTTTGGTACTGCCAGGTTGCTGAAACCTTTGATGGTTTGTCCTACTGACCTACTGGTCATGACCTGCTGTAGGAAAACATGCAGTTGGCACCTACATGTGGGCGATTTGGTGAAGCCAGAGGTGTGCTCCCTGCACATGCCAGGGCGATGACGGTACCTATGTACCTTACGACGCAAAGCTCGCGCTGAAGCTCGAGAAGGCTGCATGGTTCACGATGAGATGCTAAGCCAAGCCCCTCGCAATAACTTCGGCCCAATGCGACAAATCCCTTGGTCTCGAATATCCCCAACCCAACACCTCACAATGAAATGTGCTTAACTTGAGCATTGTGTGCACAAACCTCCCCAATAGTTGAAGCATCCCAGACCTTAACTTCCTACGGTCTCCAGTTGGCTCTGCGGAACAAGGCTTATCCGATCTAACCACTTGGGCTCAGGTTGCCTGAACAATCGTATGGCCGAGCCTGAAGCCCTGCCTGACACAGTTTCGTGGTTCCACGGCACGTAAGGTCGCACAGTGAAGATGTTCGCCGTAAACAGAACAGAGGGACGAAGTAGCTTGGAGCACGAAAAAATCTTGAAAAAGAGTAATCCTTTCAACGCACCCCAGCCAGATCTGATGAGCAATTCTGCCGTTGATTGAAACTTCCGAGTTTCATTTGATAAGACATAGGCCAACTAGGCGTGAGACTTTGTGAGCCCAACATCTGCCAGACCAACCTGAAGCCGTAAACCCGAAACCTGAAGCCACCCTTTGCTTGAAACGAAATTCCTCTAAAGCCTTTCTCCCTAAACCGAAGCTGGTGGTTACGCCCTAAACAGCAATGCAAAACATCCAAAACTCCCTAAACCCTGGATCTAAACGGATCCCAACAGATGCCACCTCTTGGAGCGAGGCCTTCTCGAAGCTCCAGGAAGCTTCGGCCTCGATGGTCGAGCTCAGCGCATCAGCCCCTGGGGTCTGACCAAAGGATACCAATAGGCCCTAAAGTAGTTCCTTTTTGGGGTTCATATAATANNCCCCCCCCCCCCAAAAAAAAAAATGCAGAAAGTTTCTTTCTCTGTCTCAACTACATGTGGAACTACTCCATGGACCGGGGCACTTGAGTCGATCGACAGTGTTGGGGTTGCAAAGTTGAGTGTCATCCTTCACAGGTCATGGCAAATTTCAACTGATTTCGTCCGAAAGTCCTAAGTCAGGCGTTCGTTGTATACGCGCTCTTGGTCAGAATAAAGCAAGGAATTTGGTCTGAAGTTCTGGTCCAAAATGCTTGACTCTCATGTCGGTGAACCCTAAAGCCTTCGACAACCAAAAGCCGAAAGATCTACAGTAAGGTGTCTTTAGGAAGCCGGGAGCTGTTTCCAAGGTCACTGTAGACTTGACCCAGATGCGGGAGGTTCACCGACAGCGGTGTTGGCAATTCTGGTCGGAATTTTTTCAGGTTGAGAAATCAGTCAGGGTTCAAGACATTCTCTACGATATTATTTCTTCGAGTTTGGTGTCAGAGCGTTGTCATCTCACTGGATTTGTTTTTGGGGAGAAAGCCCCACACGAAATGCACCCGACTGGCACAGTTGTGCATGTTGTTCGTCGTCACCATAGCATTGGTAGCATTGGCATTGCTGAAGGGTGGGCTGCCACGCCCAGGTTGCCCAATCTTCCGGGGATGTGGAAGTTGGAGTAGTGGTTGCTGGCCTGGGTGGGGATCCCGTCGAATGAAACCCTGGCCCTACTGACTAAGTCTCCGGGTTTTTTCGGCAGACCCTGAAGCCTAAGACAGTAGAACCCAAAACAGTACGAGCTGTCATACCGGCCTGGTCAGTCATCATGCTGCAAGGCGTAGAGTTGCTTTGCGTGAGGAAGTCAAAGGTTGGTTTCAGGCTTGAGAATACAGATCTACGGGTCAGGGCTGGCAGGGCCGATTGCTCCAATGCTTACAAACCTCGAGCGCTGAGTCTTGTCCCGAACTGCATCCCGACAGCCCAAACCTAGGTCCCACAACACGAATACTCAACTCCTCTGATAGTTACCCTGACGAAGTTACAGTCCAGCCTTTAGACTTAAGGGTCCGGTGGTTAGCGCTTTGGGTTGGGGGGGCGGGGTTTACGAAGAACCCAAACCCAAGCTCCCGACTTCATATGGGTCGTTGTCAAAATTAGGGTCCCTTTTGGGGTACCTTCAATAATAGGTGCCGTATTAAAATAAGGACCCAAAAAGGGACCATAATTTTGACAACTCCCCATATCCCTACCCTGAAGGTCGCCAACTCCGGCGAAATCACCCGACCCATCCGGCGGAAAACTCTCGATGAGGCGCCAGACTGCGGGATTGCTTTCAAACTGTTGGCTATATCAGGGGTATATAAGGACTGTACAATGGTTGTTGCAGGTAATGGGATTAAGGGTCCCCTATTACAGGTCCCTCCTAAAGTCCTTAGATTAAAGTGCTACAGCCTTGCCGAGGCAAGGAACAGTTTGTTTCCAACGCGGAAGCTTAAGGCCTAGACCGATAGTTCCTGAGTGGCGAGGACGAGTTGTTTTGAATCCGACTGGTAGGGTAAAGGTAGGAGCTTGATTTCTCTCGGTCCATGACAGGAGTTGGTTGTAGGTTTACAGCATTCGGTTTGGAGTCTATATACAAGGTTTCAGGGTCTAGCAACCTTGCCCAAGGTCGTGCAGCCCAACCTACGCAACAACCTGCTGTAAGGGAACTTAGATTGCAGCTGAGACGAAAGCTCCATGGCCCAGAAGACACTGAGCTGCAGGCTCTTAGAGCCTAGCCATCGAGTGGAATTGCCAAGGATGACGGTTCAACACTCGCCTTGACATCCTATCCATGAGCCCGTCTGTGTCATGGACCCTTCCTTCTTAAATTAGACCCTCCTTACCCGCTCCAACCCTGTCCTCAACAGCCTCACCCGTTGAACCATCCGGTCGCTAAAACCGACATGATAGCCTCCCTTGGTCCTCCTCATCAATGGTACCGAGCCCTAGGGCATGTTGGACCAGAATTGGCGACAGTTAGGCGCTTTGGGGGCAACAGTTGTCCTCAATTGAGCGCGCAGAAGATAGTTAAGTTTCAACCTGTCTTCTTCAAGTCCGCTACAGAGAATGTCTTAACACGAAAGACGGTGATGCATCTGTGCGTTTGGCTCCATGCTAGTGTTTGGGGTATTTAGCCGTCACCAGGTGAGATGTACTGGTAGAATTCCGGATTCCGCCGGACATCTGCAAGTCGTCGTTTGTTGGTGTCCACATTCACTCCGACGAACAGGAAAACCGTGTTAACATCCACCCTTTCGTCGTCAGTGGCCTGAGTCTGTGATGGACCTAATGTTCGGCTCGTGGGGTGCTGTGGCTTGATGCTTGATGGCAAACAGTTCAGATGGTACCCGAACCCGAAATACCTGAAAGCACGAGAGGTGGCTCGCGGACTCGCTGAGCCCACGTGGCTGCACCAAGATGGCGAGGCTGCGGTGAAGTGTAAGTGAACTGAGCATATATTGATATTTTGCACATGAAGAAATGAAGAACAGTAGCAGCCGGAACACGAAGAACGACAACAGCAGCAACAACAACAACAGGCAGAGCGGGGACAAGCAACAGCAATAGCAAGAACAAGACCATCGACACAACAGATAGCTAACATCATACAAGCCGTACCACTCCCCGTGGCGGTGCCGTAACTATTCACGAGCTGCATCACCACGACTCCCCGCCCCCAACGACCACCGCCACAGCCACGACTACCACAACCTGCCACCGCAAGACGACCACTAACACCAACACGGTGGTCTAACCGTCGTTATCGTCTTATCGTCATCAACACAACAGCAACAAGCACGACCACAACAGCAGCACCGCATGATGATGATGATGATGAAGATGAAGATGAAGATGAAGATGTAGATGTAGATGAAGATGAAGATGAAGATGAAGATGAAGATGAAGATGAAGATGAAGATGAATATGATGATGAGGATGATGATGGTGATGCTGATGATGATGATGATGAAACAGAAGAAGATGATTATTTAATGAAGTGGTCGATGACAAAGCCTCCTACTGCGACATCGCATGCAAAGCATCTGCATACATGGGCGTTGGGGATCACTTTCCTGACTTGATCATCCGTCACCCTGCAGCGGGTGTGATAAAAGTTAAAAGGCTGTGTCCCAGCGATTCCATATAGAGCTCACATGCAGCATGCATCTCTTCCGGTCTCTTCTACAAGATATTGTTATGATGCCATAAGCGCATCGACAGCAGCAACAACAACAACGACGACGACGACAACGACTACTATGACTACTACGACTACTATGACGACACTACTGCAGCAGCAACAACAACAAGCACAAACTGCACTGATAATGAAAATGATGATAAGCAGAGAAATTGCGTTGTGGTTCACTGGCCGTCAAACCAGGCCGAATATTCTGTACGTTTCTGGAATTGGAGTTGATCCCCTGGGAGATTGCGCAACGGTCTAACTGAGCAAGTCCTTTTGATTCCGCATGCACGCTTCGTCTGGGAGTACGTGCCCCGCTTCACGAACCCACACACAGGTGTTGCTCGCGGACGTGCCTGCAGAGCATGTGGAGGCTTGAGCCCCTGTGCCGCTGCGAAGTCTTCCGGCTTGAGCAGACTGTAGCTGTTTGCCCCCTCCATTACTGAAAGACTCCCTCGTGCCTGTCAAAGCCTTACATTCACAAGATCTCTGAGCGACCCTTCCCAATCTTCTAGATCCGATTCATTCCTGGTTCAACACCTAATACAAGCCCCCAACACCGCCCGGAAGACTTGTAAACCCAGACTGAGCAGCTCCGTTCAGAGCGGCCGGGCCTGCTTCGACCCCTTACAGCCTTAGACCCCACCGTGCAGGGCTGGGCATTGCCTGAGGGTCTGGGGCCAGACAAGCCAGGATTTTGGTTTCAGAACGGGCAGATAGTGAGAAGAAGGCCGGAAGCCAGAAGTTGTTGCCACTGCTGTCAGCTCGAAAGGGATCCTTCGTTGAGTAGCTGTTGGAGAGAGGGCAGCTTGCAGCTTCTTGTAAGATTGCTTGTCGGCATTCTCACACCGGAAGTACGGAGCAGAGTGCCCCTGGGGATGCCCCACTGAGCTTTTTGCGTGGTGTCCGACGATCGCAAGTCGTCTCCCATGTCCAGGCGGCATTGGTGCACGAATCGTTCTTCCGAGAAGGTGGACTAGATGCGCAGGTGCGGTGGAAGCAGTGTGGGCTTGAGTTGCGAAGACTTGTGAGGGTGCAAGGACTGCTAATTGGGCTGCCAGGGTGGCATGGGCTTGGAAACTTGATGCTTCAGGTTTCTTTGGGTTGATCCTATCTGAGATCCAATGTCAGGCCGTTGGCATCTATGATTTGCAGCGCTACAACACCCTAAATTAGCCTTAGCCCTTAACCCTGAAGTCACTCCCAGCTCACCGTTGAGGCTAGACGCTGCGCCCAATCCCCCAAACACGCCCCATGACGCCCCTGAAGTCAGAACCCTCACCCCAATCTAGATTGCCAAACCCCATGCCCCTATGAAGCGTCAAACGTCAAAGGGGTGGGCCGTTGTCGCCATTCAGCGGGTGCAGCTTCGCTGCTGCAGAAGGAGTAGTGTTCAGGATTCAGGACTTAGTCCAGGAGCCCTCCAAAAAGCAGGTTACTGGGTTCAAGCAGCAGGATCTGGTCAGGGCTCAGGGTCTGTCGGTTTTGGGATGCTCTGGTCGAACATTCGAGTTGACGGGGTGTTCTTGTCTTTGAGCTGCGGGGATACTTGGGGCTTCGGCTTCAGCGTGTGGGCTGAAGAGGTAGGTTTAGGGTTGGTGCGGTTTGCACAACAGGCCGCCATCCTGACTTCTACTAAATTCTACTATATAACCTGTAGAGATTGCGCCTGGTAAGAGCTGTAAGGATTTAGTTGCGCCCGGGGTCTGTTTGTGCCGGGAGGGAGTAAGTCTTTGAGGCAGCAGCCTCTTAGGCCTTGAAGTCCGAAGCCCGAGGCGCAAGGCTCTAAAGTAGAAGCCATGTTGGAGCATTCGTATCCCGTCATCATTGCCCGATTCTTTCGTTGGAACCACAAGGCTAAATCCTATGCTCGCAGCGCTACGAAGCCTTCAACCCTAAACTCCGAAGCGTTTTTGCCTACCCTGGACCCTAGTTCCTGTTCCCCAATCCCTTAACCCACAGGATTCTTCGGGAATCGTTTGTATCCTCCTCACCCTTTCGCTTCAGTTTTCCTCTCCGAAACTCGTTTTCCCATGCTTTGCCACAGCCCGTCATCCGAAAGCTTTGCGGAAAAGTGCTCCCTCTCTCTCTCTCTCTCTGTTTGTAGGCTTCAGGGCTTTTTCGTAGCTTAGGGTCTGGTGGGCCTGTGAACCGAATTGATCCAAGATGAGCCCTGTAAGCTTTCGATCGGATCTGGTAAAGAAGTCAACTACAAGCTCCACTAGCGTTCGTTGTTTCTCCTGCTGCGCCTGGCGTGTGGTGGGTGTACAAAGGGCTTGCATGCGAGTGTGAGAACGAGATTCTCTCTCCGAATACCCGTGTCCGCAATCCAAACAGCTCTTCATTCTAAAACACGTAGCACTACATCAGAGCTGCAAGCCCTTCAACCCTTCAGCGACTCAGATCCTGGCACCGGAGCCCTCTTGAGCCCTATGGCCCAACATCTCTCAAACCTCAAGCTTTCAGGAACTATCCCCTCCGGGAAGCCTATCACTTCGAGCGCCAGCAAATGTTGCGGGAGCTGCGGCGCCGAACCGCCGAGGGATCTCCGGAGGAGGAGAAGCGACTCGACGGCCGATCCCTGGCGCTCCAAAAAGGCCCAAACCTTGCCCTAAGCCATCAGTTGTAGACTTTAGACCCTACTTTACCAGAGTCATTTGTAGACTTGGAGTTGTAGGGCATGCTTTTCTGCTGTATGCTCTATATGTCTGAACTTGCGGGGTTCTAAGACTCCCTGACTTTTTCTTGAGTCTACTGAGCTGTATCACAGATAGGATGCTGTAGAGGGTGTGTTATAGCAGCTTGTAGTATAGCACCGTGCACCGACAGAAGAAGGTATCAGTATCAGTACCAGTATGTTCGAGTGAATCAGAGTCGGTCATAGCATGCCAGCATACAGCAGAGCCCACCCTATCGCAGTAGAGCATTGGCGTACTTTGCTGTCCTCGTGCGTTTCAAGCTTGATGGCATTCGCGGCGCAAGTTAAGGGTTGTACGTATCACCAAGAAGTATTCGGGGGAGCACTGTGGTAAAATGCAAGCACTCATTTGAAGGTAGAGTCTTCAGCTTTATGCATTTGGGTCCAGGCAAGAGTATACCAGTGCCGAAGATCAACACTTCAGGGTGCTTGTTCAAAGACTTAAAGGGTCGGCGATAGAAAAGTGGTGCATCGGGCTATGTATCCTACGATCTTCGTGAATTCAACACGGGCTTCTTGATAAGGTACCTACACTGCACAGGGAAATTCGGTCAGACGGTCACCGTTTCGACTCGCATCTCGCATGGATTCGAATCGGAAACCGCTGCCAAACGACTGGGCGGGTAGCATCCCCGCCCTAAGCCGGAAACTCAACAGGCTTTCACAGGCTCATCCGGCTGTCCATTGAGAGGCTTATACCCCGTCACCAGATGACTCGATGTCTTTTGCATTGAAGCGAATGAAAATCGGGTGGGCACCAAAGACAGCCTGACAGGTGGATGCGTCGGTCTCTCTCGGCGCCATGTTTAATCACACAACCCCCGATAAAGAAGCTCGTTCGGTTGACGGGTGTGAGATTTGCTTAGGTTTCAGCTTATGGCTTCTTGTCGGCTATCCGTCATACACTTGTGTGTTTGTCAGTTCACCTTCTCTATCTGCCTGCCAACTTGCCAAAGTCCCGAACCCTAGCGAAAGGGCCAGCCCTAGATGTTAACATGCCAAACCAAGAACATTAGGGGTTTAGGGTTTAGGGTATCATTAGACCCCTAATCCCTAACTCTACAAGCCCTGTTCGAGCACCACGGGAGGAGGGAAAACCGGATCTGGAGCTGAAGGAGGTCTGGAAGGCGCTTCTAGAGGGTTTAGGGTTCAGGGTGCTAGGGTTTAGCTTTTAGGTATCGGGGTTTAGGTCTTCTGGGTGTGAGGCTTTCGAGCTTTCGGGCCGTGGGTCTTTGGTTCGAGAGGGCAAATAGGCTTTTCTGGGTCCATGGCTTGAGGATGATAAAGAAAACCCTAAACCCTAAACCCTAAACCCTAAAGCTTTTGGGTCAGGGATTTCGGTGCTGTCAGGTTTAGACTTTCAGAGTTCCTTTCTTCGGAGGGCCTGGAGACAGAGCCGTTGTCACAAAATCTGAAACAAGCTACTCAAGGTGTTTGTTCTTCAGTTGTTTTTGGTTCTGCTGGCTTTGTGGAGGCTCGCCAGGGTCTGACGTGGGCTCATGGACACGATATGAGAGGTTGTGATTTTGAACAATTGCCACGGTCCTTCGCTGAAAGTAGCAAGGCTTCCATTCGGCAACAATGAACCCACCCACGAAGCCCTGTGAATTACCGCAAACCTCACAAAAACTCTACACTTCACACCCCAGGCCAGGAGCCCCTTACCGCCATCCTAATAACCTTTCAGTTTCAATACCTTGTAGGGAACCCCAAAAGGAACATCGCAAGGAAACCACTGAAAAAAACCCGAGGCCATGAAACCCGAGCTCCCGAGCCCAACCAACAGGGAGGCGAGGCAGCGCTGCTTGGAGAGCTCCAGGAGCACCGTCGCAAGGTTTTTTTCCTAAACCCTAGGCCTATACCCTAAACCTTCATTCCTAAACCCTCAACCCTAAACGTTGTTAAGGGTTTCGGGTTGGGGTTTAGGAGTTCACACGGTTGCCTGTGTGTATGTTTCCTGCATGGCAGACTGTAGTACATCGCATGCTTCGTATACATTCTACATTAGGTATATACACACACACACACATACATATGCATATACATATGCATATACAGATATGTATACATACACATGTGCATGCACATCCACATACACACACACATGAATATATGTAAACACATACTCACGCATACGTGTACAGCATACGTATGTATATGCATACATGCACACCGATGTCCATATCTACATATACATATGTTGCATGTACGTGCAAAGCATGCATGTACATACACATGCATTACGCAATATACATACATGTTTTCATACATGCATACATACATACATGCATGCTTACACACGTACATGCATGCATGCATGCATGCATACATAAATACAAATGTACGTACATACATACACAGTTACATACATACATAATTACCCACCTACCTACCCACCTACCCACCTACCTACCTACCTCCCTACCTACCTACCTACCTACCTACCTAAATACCTACCTATCTACCTACCTACATCCATGCATGCATACATACATGCATACGGACATCCGTACATACATACATACATACATACATGCATGCATGCATGCATGCATGCATGCATGCATGCATACATGCATACATGCATACATGCATACATGCATACATGCATACATGCATACAAACATACATCTATACACACATACATGCTTACATATGTACGCACATACAAGCATGTATATGTATTTGCGTACATATGTAAACGAAAAATAACATACATATCTATGCCTGCATACGTCTGCGCGTGTTTGTACATACATGCGTGCAGGCAAGAACAATATACATACATACACACATGCATGTACATCCACATCTACAACTGATTTACATATCTTCCTTTACAAATACGTACGCACATACATGCACATATACATTACTACCGATACCATCACCGCTACCACTGCCTACTAACTAATAACTTCTGGCTGCTAGCTACAATCTACTAACTACTCAGGATCTACTACCTACTAACTGCTAGCTACGAGCTACTAACACAACTACTACTCCTCCTCTTCCCGTTCCTCCTACTACTACTCTACTACTACTACTACTACTACTACTACTACCACTACTACTACTACTACTACAACCACCGCCACCACTACCACTACAAGGGAGACCATCCAAACCATGTAGCCTCAAATCCCATGCCCTAAGACCGCAAGCAGAAATCCTTCCAGAGTGCGGGCAAGGAGCGACTCCTTGCGCACGGGACACGGACTTGTGATCCCACGGTCAGGGACCGAGTTGTCGCCCTGCCAGGGCTAAAGCCGTTGTGAAAACTTGCGGCTTTTACAGGCTTCACGTCCCAAGTTCCACCACGAGGATTTCTGCAGGATTGAGTGTGTTACGGTGTGTTTAGACGCTTAGAGCACGGTTCTAAAGTGCGAACAGACTTCGATGCCTCTTACAATTCTGAGGTACCACTTTGTGAGCTCTGAGACATGTATCATAAACAGGACGGAACAG